TCTGTCAATCTCAGTGCATCGCAAGTCTGTCGTTGGCTCTCTCTCTTGCATCATCGACCATCGATATCACTCCCTCTCTTCTCGCAAGTGGTTCGAGACTCCTCTCCCTCTTCAGCCTTCAGGGTGGTTTGATCGTGTACTAGGGTTTACTTGGAATTTTGAGTTCGAAACCCTACGGGTGACTGTACGATCGGGGTTGTGTTGATAAATGATCAGGATTTCATCTCCAAATGGAGGGAGGTAGTGTCTTTTGATTTTCTTTTTTTGGTACTGTTCACTTCCTCTATCTATTTGAGTTGTTATTTATGAGCATTTGATGAGATATAGAGGAAAATTTGAGGGCTTTTTGTTGATACGTGTTGGAATAGTGAATTGAATTTTAGAAATATGGTTGATGATAAACTGCAAGCTATCACTACTAAGTTAGATGATACCAATTATTCTTATCGGTCTCATGTAATGAAGAATTTTATAATGGGTAAAGGCATGTGGAACTATGTTATTGGTGTAACTATTAGACCTATGGAATCCAAAGAAACTGAGGCTGATATTTCTAAATGGGATAAGGAAAATGCATTAATTCTTACTTGGTTTCATAATTCAGTTCAAACTACCATTGAAATGAATTTTTCCAAGTATTCTACTTCTAAACAAGTTTGGAACTATTTGAAAACTATGTACATTGAGTCTAACTTTGCAAAACAGTAAGAACTTGAGATGTCTATTCGCAATGCTAGTCACAAAGATAAGTCCATTCAGGAGTTCTACAATGAGATGACAACTTATTGGGATCAGCTTGCTTTAATGGAACCATCAGATTTGCGGTTACTTGATAGTTATACCAAGTATCGGGAGAAGCAATGTCTTGTTCAATTTCTTATGGCCCTTCGTGATCAATTTGAACCACTTTGGGGAGCTATTCTTCATCGATTCCCCTTGCCTTCTGTTGATGGTGCTATCCGTAAGCTTATTGCGGAAGAAACTCAGTTTAAGGTGGCTCATGGTGCTTCTGCCTCCCAGTCAGTTTTTGTCACTTCTGCGCTTTTGCCTACCCCACTATCTCATTTATTTCAGATTACTAGTAAGCCCAAGTCTCGGGTTTCCATGGATGAATGTAGCTTCTGTCGTCAGCGAGGTCATTGGAAACATGCTTGTCCTAAACTTTTGCAGCCCATGGGTCGTTCGTCTGGTCCACCATCCTCTAAGCTGCCATCTTTGGGATCTCGCTCATCTGTCGCCTTTTTTTGCACCAGCTTCTGAGAATGAGTCATCTTCCAATATGCAGTCTATGTTTGAGCAGTTTAAGTCTTTCATGGTAGCTAATCCAAATCTTTCGTCCTAGCCCTCCGCTATGACTACCACTCAGTTAGGTTTGTCTGGTTCATCCTCTTCGAGTAATATCCACACTTCGTGGATTTTGATTCTAGTTGTTTACATCATATAACCCCTGTCACATTTCTCTTTAGTAATTGTGTCTCCACTTCTTCTTCTATCATTATTGTTACTGCTAATGGTTCTTCTATGCCTGTACACTTTATTGGTTCTATTTCCTCTTCCCATTTGTCTTTTTCTCCTGTATTTTATGTGCCTCACCTTTCACTCAGTCTTATTTCTATTAGTCAATTATCTGATTCTGGTTTTGATGTTGTTTTCTCTTCTTCTCATTGTGTTGTGCAGGATCGGGTATCCAAGAGGCAGATTTGGATCGTGCCTAGATTTAGAGAACTGTATATCTTGGACAGCTTGTATGTTCCTCCAAAAGTGCTTTCTATTGCATTGTCTTCTTTTTTGTTTAAATAATAAGTCTTCTTTATTTTGTATTTGGCATTCTAGGTTAGGTCATCTGTCGAGTGACGGTTTGAGGATGTCAGTTCGGTCTGGACATTTAGGCAGTTTTCCCGTTGATAATATTTCTGAATGTCGAGGTTGTAAACTAGCTAAAATGTCTGCTCTTCCTTTTAATAAAAGTAATTCTATTTCTTCTTCTCCTTTTCATTTGATTCATACTGATGTTTGGGGTCCTTCCTCTATAGTTGCCAAGGGTAGTTCGCAATATTATGTCTTTTGTGGATGATTATAGTCAGTTTACCTGGGTTTATTGGATGACTTGAAAATTTGATTTTTACAAAATATATTCTAATTTTCACTCCATGATTCGCACTTAGTTTTCCATCACGATTAAAGTTCTCCATTCCGATTTGGGGGGTGAGTATTACTTGTCTTAGTTTGAGGAGTTTTTAGCTACTCATGGCACTATTCATCAGTCATCGTGTTCTGTCACTCCTGCCTAAAATGGTCGAGCTGAGCGCAAACATTGCCATCTCTTTGATACCGCTTACTCTTTGTTGCTCTTGTCTTTTGTCCGTTCTGTTTTCTGGAGAGAAGCTGTGCTCACTGTTATATATCTTTTTAATCGGATGCCTACTCCTCTTCTCTCAGGCTCATCCCCGTATGAGCGTCTTTTTGGTGTTACTCCAAATTATTCTCTTCTTCGTATTTTCGGTTCTGCATGCTTTGTGCTCCTTTCTAAACGGGAGCGCTCTAAGTTTAGTTCTCGTTGTGTCCTATGTGTCTTTTTAGGGTATGTCATTATTCAGAAAGGTTATCAGTGCTATGATCCTGCCACCAAAAAGGTATATGTGTCTAGGCATGTCACATTTTTAGAAAAACTACCTTACTATACTATACCTTCCACCCATGTTCTTATTACCAATGATGAATTGGTTCACATTAACCCATTTCCTTCTGATGTTTCTCCCGATGAGTTTGTTTCTGATCTTGAGATCTCTACTTTGCCTCTTACTAGCACTTTTGCTATCTCGCCAGGCATTTCCTCTCCCGCTCCCGCTTCCCCTGCTCCTCTGCTTGTTTATCAGGGCCGCAAAGCATTTTTGAGCTCGCCTGTCTCTAGTTTTACTGTCCCTTCTGCTATTTCTTTGGATCCCGTTCCTCCTGTACATCGCTTTCCAAAGTGAGACCGTCATCCTCTGAACTGGTATGGTTTTGATAATACATGTTTTTTCCTTTTCCTATCAGTCCTTTCTTTCTTGTCTTCATACTTATTTTGAGCCCAAGTCCCACAAGGAAACTTGTCATGATCCTAATTGGATTGCTGCCATGAATGACGAGTTAACTACTTTGGCTAACACTCAGACTTGGGATTTGGTTCCATTACCTGTTAATAAGAATATTGTAGGTTGTAAATGGGTCTGTAAGGTCAAAACCCTTTATGATGGTTCTTTGGAACGATACAAAACTCGTTTGGTTGCCTAGGGTTTATTTCAAGAGTATGAGATTGATTATAATGAGACTTTTGGCCCCGTTGCCAAGATGATTACTGTTCGCACTCTTATCTCTGTAGCTGCTGCCTATCACTGGCTTTTGTTTCAACTCGATGTCAAAAATGCTTTGCTAAATTGGCATCTTGCTAAAGAAGTGTATATGCTCCCTCCACCGGGTCTCTCTCATTTTCCTAGTGTTGTTTGTCGTCTTTGCCGTGCTCTATATGGTCTCAAGCAGTCTCATTGTGCTTGGTATGAGCGTTTTCATTTTGTTGCACTTCAGTTTGGTTTTCGCCCTAGTCATCATGATTGTGCTCTCTTTGTTCGATGCACTTCTGTTGGCCTTGTTCTCCTTCTTTTATATGTGGATGATATGATCATTACTGGCTTTGATTATAGTACTATTAAGGAGGTTAAGCATCAGTTGTTTCAGGAGTTGGAGATGAAGAATTTGGGATTTCTTCGGCATTTTCTTAGTATTGAGGTTACTACTTCTCCTATTGGGTATTTTCTCTTTCAGACTAAATATGCTCGTGATATTCTTTCTCGTGCCAATCTCACTGATGACAAAATTGTTGACACTTCTCTTGAGTTGCATGCTAAGTTTTCGGCTTCTGATGGCGTTCTTCTTGAGGATCTTACCGTGTATCGCGAGTTAGTTGGGTGCCTTGTTTATCTCACTGTTACTCGTTCGGATATCTCCTATGCTGTGCACATTCTCAGTTAGCTTGTTTCTTCTCCTCGTTCCATACACTAGGCTGCCTTACTTCGTACTCTGCGTTACCTTTGTGGCACTTTGTTGCAATGTTTGTTGTTATCTGCCTCTTCGGACTTGACTCTTCATGCCTATGCTGATGCTGATTGGGCATGTGACATCTCTGATCATAAATCCACTTCTGGTTTTTGTGTTTTTCTCGGCGATTCTCTCATATCCTGGAAGAGTAAGAAATAGTCTGTTTCTGCTCCTCGTTCCACACACTGGGCTGCCTTACTTCGTACTCTGCACTACCTTCGTGGCACTTTGTTGTAATGTTTGTTGTTATCTGCCTCTTCAGACTTGACTCTTCGTACCTATGCTGACGCTGATTGGGCATGTGACATCTCTAATCGTAAATCCACTTTTGGTCTTTGTGTTTTCCTTTTTGATTCTCTCATATCCTGAAAGAGTAAAAAACAGTTTGTTGTTGCTCGTTCCACCACTGAGGCTGAGTATCATACCATGGCTCATACTACTTTCGAGATCCTTTGGCTTCGGTGGCTTCTTTCTGATATGGGTGTCTCTCTTTCTGATCCGACTGTTGTATTGTGATAATCAGAGTGCTGTCTAGATTGCCCATGATTCAGCCTTCCATGAGTGGATCAAGCATGTTGAAATAGATTGTCACTTTATTAGACATCATCTTCAGGCTGGCACTATTACTTTCCCTTTTGTCCCCTCCTCTCTTCAGTTGGCTAATTTTTTTATGAAGACTCACACTGTTGCTCATTTTCGTTTTCTTCTTGGCAAACTTTCGATGCTTTCTGTGCTCGCATCCTCAGTTTGAGGGGGGGTGTGAATTTTGTAGTTTATATTATTCATTAAGGATAGTTTAGTCCTTTAGGTTGTTAGGGTTTTATTCTATTAGCTTATATAATTGTACTCAGTTGATTACTCAATTTATTGATTCGTAATAGACAAGATTTCTATTCATTCTCATTTATCAGTATAGACCCACTACTCTAACTAGAGCTATTGGAGGATCCAGTGTTTTGCTTTTTACTTCCAAAGGTGTTGCCCTTTCTAAACTTGTTCCTCGACCTCTTACCTCTCCATTCTGTTGTTGTTGGGGCCTTGCTTTGCTTCATAGCTGTTAAGGTAGCTTCCGCCATCAAAGCTCTGTCTAATACTTCCACATAGGTAGGTAAGACGCCAATCCGGTCAAACACTTCCAAAGTCAAGCCTCCTTCAAATTTTTGTGCCTTTTTATAATCGGTATCCACCATGTGTGGAGTAAATTGGGCCAATTCGGTGAACTTAGCTTCATATTTAGCGATTGACATATTGCCTTGCTTGAGTTCTTGAAATTCAGAAACTTTTCGGTCCAGAAAACATTGAGGGAAATACTTGTCGTAGAAGATCTCCTTTTATATCATGTTTTCATTATCGTTTTAGATTAACAGCCACCACGTTCGAGATTCATCCTTTAAAGTATAGGTGGCCAAGAGCACCTTCTGAGTCTCGGAGCAGGGAAAGACTTTATATGGTTTTTCCACTTTGAGTAACCATGTCTCAGCTTTCAATAGTTCAATCCCACCCAAGAACGTTGGCGGTTTCATTTTCATAAACTTCTGGGTCAGATTGATTATGTCATTGTTATTTAGTTCATTTTGTACTGGTGGAGGCGGAGGAGGCATAGGTTGTTACCTCAGAGATTCCGTTAAGGCTGTAAGCATTTGTTCCATGCGACTCATGCGAACCTCAGAAGATCATGCTGTATCATCGTTTCTAGCATTTTCCATCTCTACAGGTAAACAAAACAATAATAAAATAGGCAAATAGTTCTTTTCACAGTGTTCAGAACATTCAATCCTAGTTCATTCGTTTCAATTTCATGTGTTCATGTTCAGATTCAGTTTTTTCATGTACAGAAATTAACACACAGTCTCACATGTAGATGTAATGTCCCTAATTCTTTTCTAGGATATCCTATAGTTCATATAGACTCGTGTGTTTGGTATAACTCGTACCACTCTGTCACGACCTAAACCTGCCCCTATAGGTTTCGCGCCGTAACCGGCTAGTAATCCTGAGATTACCAAAGGCCTCTGAACAGATTAACATATATTAAAGGGCTGCGGAAGCAAATATACAATATACAATGTCCATTGAGCTGTGCAAACAAACATGGGACAGATAATTTAAATTTTTATATACATACACGTAACGTCATAATGTAACAATCTTATGTCACTTGCCGATATAGATAAGACAAAAGTGGGATTTAGCCCATTATACAGGAAGTTAGAAATTGTACGAGAGCCACGAAAAGAAAACAAAACAAGAGTTAAAAACACATCGTTCCCAAAACATGACCACTTGACTTGACTTGACTTAATCTGGAACCCCCTCAAGAGGCACAAAAGGGTGGTCAACAAAACAAAACTCTCCAGGCAGCAACTTAGGCCTGGTCACGTGCTTGCTCACCTGCATACATAATAAAAAATAGTGAGCAGAAGCTCAGTGAATAATAACAGAGTAAAGGTTTTACTGAATGATGTCCATACAAAAACAGTCTTGTACATAATTAGATGTCAAAGCAGAAACAGTTTCACATACATATTCATATTCATATTCGTATGCAAAGTTCATACATTTCACATGATAGTACGTGGTACATCCATTAGCTTTATCAAATTCGATGACGGTCGTGAAGGCATTCCGATGACTCATATGCACAGAGGTGTTTTCGATGACCCATAAAGGGACGACCATAAAGACATTTTGATGACCCATAAAGGGACGCATATCATATGATGCTAAGGATGCCACGAATACATTTTAAGAACTTGGACAATTATTCATTCATACAAAACATAGCATTTTAGAAAACTGATCATTTCATATCATCAGAAAATAATTAATGTTAAACATAATTTTACGGCGTTATTACTCACAGATGGCTCCAATAGCAAAATAGAAAAAATGGGCGATTCGGATAGCCTATGGCGCGTGACCTACACAAACACATAGCAGATACACATTGAAACACACGCTCAAAATATACTTAACTCATTACGTTTCGTTCTTAGCGTGTTTCTAAGTCTTATCTTCATTATTATGTCTTAACTAAGGCTTAAGAATGCCTAAGATGCAATGAGAATGCCAAAATGTGCTTCAAAACACCATGTCAAATGTGCTGAAAACAGGGTCCTCGTTCGAGTGTAGCTTCTTTTGCTCAAGCGGAGGCTCAAAATAAATGTGGTCACTCGAGCGGTCTGTAAACTCTGCAAAAGTACTGGTTATGTGAATTCTCCGCTCGACGGTCGTTCGAGCGTAAGACTGAAGTCCTCTCTTGAGCGTAACTCTTGTCGCTCGAGCGGTTTGCAAAAATGATAAACTTCTAGGAGCATGCATTTTACGCTCGAGCCAACTCTTGGTCGCTCGAGCGAAAGTGTAAGATACAGAGTGATTGCTCGAGCGCAGGATCTATCGCTCGAGCGATGAGGTCGAAATCTGGAATTTCCAGATGGATGTTCTAAGTCCAAAACTCATATTCAAAGCTGTTACACCCTTTTTAGGCCCTAAACTTGAGAATATATATATAAAATCATAAACTTCATGAATTAAAAGTCGTTTCGCAAAAATCAAGGCCCAAAGAGCAAGTCAAATGTTGAAATCAAACTTGAAACTCAATGTATAACACACGCATGATAAAACATGATTTCTTTCCTCCCAAAACATGATCAATTAAGGTAAAAGGATGTAGAATTTGATGAATTCCCCATACAAGGTTAGAACAATGGCATGCATGAGAGAATTTCTTAGAAATCAAACTCTAACATATAAGAAAGGAGCATGCATGTATGGTTTAGCCTCTAATTCACCTCTCAAAGCTTAATTCCCCAATTCCTCTTGAATTCATGTGATATGTCTTAATTACACAAGTAAAGGCTTGAATCCTTACCTAAACTCTTTAATTAGGCTTTAGATTGCTAAATCTTTAAGCTTCTAAGCCAACTCCCTTCAATTTCCTTGCAATTCACCCTTCTCAAACTTTGATTCTCTCTCTCTCTCTCTCTCTCTCTCTCACATACACACACACACACACGTTTTAGGGACTCAAGGATAATGATATGAAAGTGCAAAAATGTATTCTAGAGGTTGTATGAGCCTTATATAGGCTCCATTAATGGCTCTAATTAATTGGAGTTAAAGATAACTAAGTGTGATAATTTATTTTAATTTATTCGTTTTGAATCGAATTTTAATGAAACCTACCATAAAATTCTAAAAATCTTAAATAACATAGAAATCAAATCAATTTCGTGATAGGATATCGATAAGGCCTTCAATTCGCAGAACAAAACAGAAACGCAAACAGATATTTCTACAATAAAAAGATAGAAACACAAATGCATCACACATGTAATTAATTTGGAATTTCATCTTAATTACTCATTAGGCATAATTAATCATCGTTTATCGGCTAATCAAGGTTGAGGTTGTTACATTAAGACTTCGTGCTATGCCATATCTTAGGCTTGTTTGGTGTTACTTTTCTAAAGCTAAAAGTCAATAATAAAATGTATAAGCTAAAAATATAGCATTTTTCAGCTTATTTAAGTTATTTTTTTCTCATATGCTATAAACGAAAGCTACACCAAATGCTCAGACTCAAATTCCCAAAATTTAATAAAAAAAGAAGCTATAAATAACACCTAAGAAGCATGGATATGGACATGCAGCGTGACACATACACGATTGATATGCTTATACAAAAATTAAAACAAAAAAATGTAAAATATGACACATGAAGGATACGTTCAAAATACATAATTGTATATATCTATTATATATCATATATAAGGTCAAATAATTATTATATTCATATTTATGAATATTTGAGTAAAATATAATAATTTTTAAAGTCTAAAGGAAGATAATAGATATAAATATATATTATTTTTATTTTATAATTAGATTTCAAGTTATTTTATTCAAACTTATAATGTGTTTCATGTGTAGTGTTGGGAAGTATCTAACGAGTGTCGGGTCAACACGATACGTAGACTTCTTAAAAGTGTCTGTGCTTCTTAAAGTAGTATCAAAAGCTGCACCAAATAGTAGGGTTGCAAACGAGAGCCGAACTGAGCTTTGCTGAGCTCGAGCTCGGTTCATTTGCTTATCAAGCTCATTTATTGAGCTCGGCTTGGCTCGACAAGTACCTGGGTTCGAGCTCGGCTCAACTCGATTCGACTCGGCTTGATAAGATTTTTTTTAATATTATTTACATTATTTAAATAAAAAATATCATTATTATTTGATCCAAAATCTCTAAAATCAATAAAGCATATGAACACCAAAAGGAAGATGATTAAATCCAACCCTATTAGTCAAAACACCCTCTCCATCATAATGACAAAGCAATAATGGGACAATACAAAAATAAATGATCATTGCTTCCCTTGGACCCCTTTATACATGTAACATGACACACCATTGAGGGAGTAAAGGACAATTTGGCCTTCTCTTTTGAACCACATCATTGGTAAGTTTCAAATGAGCCAATGTCCTTGCAAACACTTTAACCTTTATGGGCACATATGCACTCCAAGTTAACTTATGAGGGACAAAGATTGAATCATCAACGATCTTATCAAAAAAAAAAAAGGTATTGTAAGAGAAAACCCAAAAGAATGAAGAGTCTACAACCTTTTGTCCTCAAAAGCACTTGATAAAGAAACACTCTGAAGGATAGCTGATAACAAAATAAATTCATTGGCTTCACGGTCATTAAGATTTCTAAAAAAGTGGAATATTCCCCTTCCAAGCATCCTTCCAAAATCGAATATTTGTTCCATTACACAAAAGAAGACGGGTAAAGTGGGAAAAATGTGATAAGCCATGAGAAATAAACTTCTATGCAGAGCGAGAGTTCCTCTATCAACAACACGAGAATTACATCCATATTTAGTAAATGGTTAATGGTTTTTTTTCCCAACCATCCAATCTTTTCCAGTACCGAGCTCTAAAAGTCTCATCCCTTGGATTCTCTCCTGGAGGAGGCCCAAATACTTCATTGGTAAAGTTTCAATGGAATAACCCAACAGCCCTTCTAACCTCTTCAACCTATCTTGCGGAAAATGAATTCCAACAATTGTACTCTCTTTTTTTTTAAGCCCCAGACCATTTCAAACACCCTAAGAAGAGAACACAAATTATGAATGTATCCTCCTCACTAGAAGAGAATTTATTTATTTATTTATTTATTTTTTATTATCTGTAAACCGTACATGAGAAACTAAAATATTATCTCTACCAATCACAAAGTCATCCGAGAAATCACAAAGTCATCCGATAAACCCCTTTCATATATTCTATCAACCATTCTACTTTTCTGACAATACCTTAACGACATTAAAATCCTTACCCAAACACCAATTAGGAGAATGTACACCAAAAAAACTCCTGAACTTGTCCCAAAAGATCTCCTTCCATCTTCAACTATTAGAGCCATATACACCCAAAAACCACCATACTGTCCCATCAAGGTTTGCAAACTTTGCCGAAACAGTAAAATGCTTAACCCCCCAAGTACTCCTTATTCTATCCAACTTTTCAATTTTTGGTCATGCTAATGACAGCCATATGGGGTTCTCTTTAATGCGGTGATAATGCCATAGTAGTTAGAATCCCAATATATTTTTCATATATTCCCAAACTCTTTCATATATACATTGTAGATTGAAAGATTTTTTGACTTCTTATTTGAGTAGATTGAAAGATTTTTTGACTTCTTATTTTGATTTTTAAAATTTAGTTGGCGATAACTAGTGTAAATGAAAACTTCTAAATGTTTTGGGCACTTCTGAAAGCGTCATATATACCTTGTATCTTTACTCGAAAGGCTTTACAAAAGTATAGTAGCATCTCCACTATCAACTTGAAAGAATCATTCCTACCAAGTTGACAGCGCCATGAAAACAAATAGAATGCCAAGGTGAATGCGAGTTAAGATTGATGAGAAGTCATGGTTGCTTTTTGATTTCATAGATGCGAACCTTGATAGATCTGATTGATGACAGATAATGTGTTGTTTGGTTAGTTGATATTCAAGGCTTTCTTAGACACGGGGAGAGAAAGAGAGGGAGAGAGGGAGGCAGATATTTGATGTTATGCATGCAAGCAATTTCAGGAGATACACAACCCCATTCGCAAGTGATTAGCAATACCCAAAATTTTATTACAATTAGATTAGTGTTGGCAAATAGCTGTGTGCCTTCTCACTATGTATTTTCTCTCCGATTCTTGAATTTTAGAGCGACTTGTAGGCTTTTGCAATTGTGATTCAATTTGTTTAATGTTTACCTTTGGATCGGGTTGGTTTGGTGTTGGCTCATCTTGTTCAGTCTAATATCTATGCTATTATTAGCAATGCCACGTGTACTTTTCTTTACACTATGTGTGCGTAGCTTTTTCCGGCTATATTATAGAAAGAAGAGTGCCCCTTCTTTTGAGAGATGAAATCAGACCAATCAATCTTTTGTCATTTCACATATAATATTTATAGAGCCACCCAATGTATGAGAATCTGGCTAAAATAGGTTAAGTACCTAATCTTACCTTCAGTTTTTGGAGAAATTGATGAAACCATGATATATAGAAAACAGCCATCTTGGACATCTCTTTTCTTCGATCCTTGTTTTGTTCTGTTCCTGTTCTTTTTCTTTTTTTATTTTGGGACATGCAAAAAAGCTAATTTTGGCTAAAAGTGTCAAAAAAAATAAAAATAAAAAAAATTACTAAGCTTTTGTCATCAACTAAAAAACCCAAATGTCATATCAACGTTTTTACTTACAAAAAATAGCTTTTTTAGCAACTCTCTAAACTTACTTAGGGTTGGTTTGGGAAGTGGGTTGATTTTTTGACTTTTTGATTTTTTTGACTATTTTAGCTTGGACTAAAAAGCTTAGTTTGGGAAGAGCTTTTTGACTTTTTTGACTTTTTTTGTGAGAAAAGAGTGTAATGATTATGAGTTGAATGTGATATTTTATTTTTTGTGGCTAAAATAGCCTATTTTATTTTTTGTGGCTAAAATAGACAAAAAAACCTCAACCAAGGCTTCCCAAACGAATGAATTTTAGAGCGACTTGTAGGCTTTTGCAATTGTGATTCAATTTGTTTAATGTTTACCTTTGGATCGGGTTGGTTTGGTGTTGGCTCATCTTGTTCAGTCTAATATCTATGCTATTATTAGCAATGCCACGTGTACTTTTCTTTACACTATGTGTGCGTAGCTTTTTCCGGCTATATTATAGAAAGAAGAGTGCCCCTTCTTTTGAGAGATGAAATCAGACCAATCAATCTTTTGTCATTTCACATATAATATTTATAGAGCCACCCAATGTATGAGAATCTGGCTAAAATAGGTTAAGTACCCAATCTTACCTTCATTTTTTGGAGAAATTGACGAAACCATGATATATAGAAAACAGCCATCTTGGACATCTCTTTTCTTCAATCCTTGTTTTGTTTTGTTTTGTTCCTGTTCTTTTTCTTTTTTATTTTGGGACATGCAAAAAAGCTAATTTTGGCTAAAAGTGTCAAAAAAAAAAAAAAAAAAAAAAAAATTACTAAGCTTTTTGTCATCAACTAAAAAGCCCAAATGTCATATCAACTTTTTTACTTACAAAAAATGGCTTTTTTAGCAACTCTCTAAACTTACTTAGTGGGCATTTGGGATTTTGCTTTTTTGGCTTTTTTAAGAGCTACAAAAAAGCTAAAGAAAAAGTTAAATTTTTTGTTGGAGAATAAGTTGATGTAATATTTGACTTTTTTAGTTGATAGTAAACAATTTGGTGACTATTTGATATATATATATTTTTTTTGGCTCTTTTAGCCAAAAATTTACCTTTTTTCGTAGTGTTCCAAATGACTAGTATGGAGAAAAATGCTCTTCTCTATTTCTGACTTAAAATTTCTCATAGAATTTTGGCAAAAAAATTAAGAATATTGGTTAGTAATAAAATTTTTCTTCCCAAAATACATTATTTAAAAATTTATCATGCTAATCCAAAATAAAAATTGTTGATCAATAAGAATGAAAAGTATGTGTCAACATAGGCCACTATTGCCCCAATAATTTTTCCTCTTTCAGAAGAAATAAAAATTGAGGTAAAGTCCAACAACCAGCTGCTCAAAACTTTTATTTCATATAATTTTTTTGGTAAGATTGCATAACAAAAGTTTTATACTAATTTCAAATAACAGAAATGAAACTTCTCATTGATTTTTCTTTCTAATTGACAAAAGTTGGAAAACACTATGGCACGACTACTAAGGAACTAAATTATTAGATAACAACAAACACAAGGAAAATGTCGAGATTCTGAAAAGGAATATCTGGAGGTTTTAAAAGGTTTTCAATTTTTTTTTCTTGTCTTCTTAGCAACCAAACACTAAGGAACTCAATTATTAGACAATTACAGAGAAGGAAGATGTACAAGTTCTGGAAAGGAATGTTTGGAGGCTTCCAAATTTTCTTTCTTGTCTTCTCCGCAACCAAAAACAAAACGAACTCAACTATTAGACAACAAAGGGAAGGAAAATATTCAAATTCTAGAAAGAATATTTGGAGGCTCTGAAAGGTTTTCAAATTTTCTTTTTCGTTTTCTCAGCAACCAAACAGAGCCATTTAAGATGATTCAAAGACCTACTGTCCCAAGTTTTGGATGAAATCAATGCATGTTTGGCAGTTGCAATCTTCGAACCTGCACATGCCGGAACCCATGCAAACACATGCCATGCAACCCTCACATTTGGGAGATGTAAGGCAACCCCAACGTGCCTTGCTGCTTTGTCGTTCCTCTTCATTTTACAACTATACCTAATATTTGTAGTAGTATGGGTGTAGATCACCACCGTTGTACAAATTCATGACTTAGATAAAGAGTTTGGTTTTGATAATCTAAAACTATTGTGTATTTTGGTCCTCACAAATCATGAAAAGCCACCTCTGTAAATGTGGGCTCAAGGTGGCTCGAGGTCCCCCATTTGTTGGAATCCATTTCCTAAGAAAACAACAAATGTGGGAACTCAAGTCTACATTTGGTTTAAAAAAGCTTACTCATAGGATTTTTTTTTTTTGGTAACAAAAATTGATTTTACTTATTTTTAATGTGTTTTTTTTTTTGGGGAAAAAAAATCCCATATTTGAAAATAATTTTTTAGAACCATATAGTTAAACAAAAGACAACTTTTTCCCATCTTTGGTGATTTTTTTTTTTTTTTTAAATTGTGTCAAATTTAAATTTGTTTAGACTAAACGATCTTGAAATTAAAACAATTTGTTTTTTTTTTTTATTTTTAAAGTTTGCCGTTATTCCACATTTTTTTTTGTTGCAGTTTTAGTAAAAAAAAAAAAAAAAGTTGACACAAAATTAATTAAGAGAAATTACCAAAGTAAAGCCAAAAGAAAAAAAAGTAGGATTATAGCTAGTAGGCATCATATTAGAGAGATTAGGAAAGAGATTTTTACGCTCTATAAAGATTTTGATCACACGTCCAGCTCCCTGAGGCGACAGCTTCGTGGTACGTGCGACACTCTTCCATCGTTCGGAGGTAAAAACGCCGCTCTTTTCCACACTTGCAGCAACGCACAAACTCATTGCGATGAACAGCTTGACGAGGCCGGAGGAACCTTTCAACCTCTCCATGATTATGTCTGTAGTAATACTTGAGCAAAGGTGTGTTAATCAATAGAACCCTCTTTCCATCTTCTTTGATAACACAAATTTGGCTCTTCTAGTTGTTTTTTGTCTCCTTTCATTGTGCATCAAGTATGAACGAGGGGACAACTTGTCTAGACACCAAGATAAATTCTCTCTTCATTAGTTTCAAGCATAGAGAAGAAAAAGAGCACAACTATTTACAAGTCTTTAATTCTATTTAATTTATTATTTCTTTATTGATTATTTCCAAAGATGCAACTTATCATGAATATCCATATACATGGTGATATAAAAAGGTAACAAAAAATAGATGATACATAGCATTTCCCATAGAGATACTATATAGAAAATCAATACATAATGATGTGATAAGTTTAAATTTTATTAAGGGAAGTATCACTTCAATCCCCTTAATTTAAACTTGAATAATTTGAATTATACGCTTTTAATTTTATTGTAATGTGGTACCTTTGTTATGCGGCGTCAACATTGAAAAAAAAAAAATCACTTGCAAAATTAGTGGGACCATGTTGAATTCAAAATCACGTGCAAAATTAGTGGGACCAAAGTTAACATAATCATCACTTATGTTTTAAAAAATATCATTATTACAAAGCATAGCATTTACAATTTAGATAACAACAAAATTCAAATTGGTATGAATAACCTATTAGGTTAATCTAGTTAGGTTAGAGTCTTGCCTGTAGCAAACTCTCCCTACTACAATCTCTAATATACCGAATAAAAAAGATCATTATGCATTTTTAATGTAACTATATCTCTCTCCATTTCATTCATAAAATTGTGATATGTATTTCATGATTAACAGCTATAAAAGATACACATCAAGAAATTTATATTTTAAAAATTCTAATCACGTCAGACTTTCAGATCACATATTTTAAATTTTAATAATGTGCTACAACTTTATGAATGAAATAAAATATTTTATTCCATCTTCGAAATGGGGAAGTTGAACAGTTAGAGCAAATTTGAGAAGAAAATCCTATTTCAAGGTTGTTAAATGTGAGAGAAGGCCATAAAAGATGGATTTAGTATTAGTTATAAAACCACCATTAAAAATAACTGGATATATAACTTGTGTTACTAATTTGAGCAAACAAAGACTAAACAAGGTTGATCTTAAGCTTGGAAAGAGAGAGAAGCAAAATGAGAGAAAGAGAGAGAGATCACTTGCCTTGTTGACAATCAGGAACACAATCACAGTTGATTTCAAGTTTACCATCAGCCGAAATCTTAAGCTTCCCAACTTGCTCGCCATGGTCTTTACTTTTCAATAAGCACTTAACTTCAATAAAATTTAGCCCTTTTTCAACCTCACTTATGTCTCTTAATTCTTCATCTCTAAACATGGTCGCACCGTCACTATATACAACAATATCCATTTCTCTTGTGCGACTGTGCAATCACAAAGTAATATTAATAACGACAAATAGTTTGAGACAACAGAAAAAATAAGTAAAACTCACATTAATGTCAAGTGAATTAGGTAAGATATAAATACAAAAATAAAATTTGGATCCTAAAAAGAAATCTTTTATGTCTTACAAACATTCTCAAATATTCTCATTAAAGAAAAATCAAAATGCACGAACTTTGTTTAAACCAAAATTAGAAAAACAAAATCGAAAAAGATACAAAACAAATATAAAAAGATGTAGGGTTCATTACACATTTCAAAGGAACATGATATGTGACGATAATAGAAAATAAAAACAAAATATTTAAGTAAATAAACAAAGACTCTAATTTGTTGTAATATCAACACAAAGCAAAGTGGCAAATAATTATATTTAATATTATGAAAAAAGTAATAAATACACATCAACTGAGGCATTTGTAATACTACAATCACCTTAAGGTTAGATGGTGGAGATAAATTGAAGGAAAAATGTAGTGATAAATTATTTTGTATAAAAATTTTAGAATGAAAGTCTCAGAATATATATAGCAAAATTTTACGTTTGAAATTCAAATTTCAAAATAACAACGGTTATATTCAACGGCTACATCAATTAATTCTAATTTCAAAAACTAGAAACGAAAACTTCGCATTATTGTTTCCTTCAAATTAACAGAAGTCGAAAAACACAATTATTACACAACAAGAAAGAGAAGGAAAATGTTCAAGTTTTGAAAATCAATGTTTAGAGGCTTTAAAAAACTTTCAAATATGTTTTATTGTCTTCTCAGCAACCAAATATAGAAGAAACTTAATTATTCGGCAACAATATTAATTTTGAAATTTAACTTCAAAATCTAAGTTGAATACTACATATGCAATGAGCAAATTTGCGCGTGCGTTGTATGTGATCAATATTTACAAAGTGATTTGTCTTAAAATAATTAGATAATTTGAGTAGAACAAATTAATTGTATTTGATATTATGAAAAAAAAAAAGAATAAAAAATACATATCAACTCAGACATACGTAATACTATACTCACCTTAAGGTTAGATGGTGGAGATAAATCTGAATGGAAAATATAATGACAAATTGTTTAGTATAAAAATGTTAGAAGAAAATCTTAGAATAAATAGAGAAAAATTTTGTCGGTTAGAAATTCAAATTTCAAAAGGATAATTGTCGTATTCAACGGATATACCAATTAATACTAATTTCAAACAATGAAAAATAAAACTTCTCATTAATATTGCTTTTTAATTAACAAAAGTTGGAAAATAGTATTATTACACAACAAGAAAGAAAAGGAAAATGTTTCTAGAAATGAATATTTGGAGACTTGAAAAGCATTCAAATTGCCTTTATGTTTATCTCAGCAACCAAATACAAAAGGAACTCAATTATTATTATTATTTTTTGATGGGGGCGTGAAATTCAAACAGAAGGAATTCAATTAGACAGCAATATTAAAATTTTAAAATTTAATTTTAAAGTCTAAATTGAACACTACATATGTAATGAATAAAGGTGCACGTATATTGTACATGATCAATATTTAGCCTTACATAATTAGATAATTTGGGTATAACAATTTATTCTACAAATTGTTAAAAAAGAAACTAAAAAAATGCTTCAACTAGTTTGTTAGAGTTTAAAAACGCTCATCTTAAAGTTAGATGGCAGAGATAAATTTAAATGAAAAATATTTTTATTTTTAATTCCGCTTGCCTTCTTATAGCGACCCCGGTCTTTTCCCATTTGATTATTGTATCCGGACTTAGGTTCCGTAGATTCTGTCATTGTATAATTGTTGTTGTTGTCCCTTATTTTCTCATTTGGAATTATAGGATGTGTTGGGCAGGTTTGTTTCAGGTTGGTTGGGTTTAGAAACCAAGTGTTGCTGTCCAGGTTTTTGGTTCTTCGCTCGAGCGAGGAGTTGGTCGCTCGAGCGAGAGGTAGTGTTTGATATGGACCTGTAGCTTTGCATTCTTGGCTCGAGCGAAGCTATCCGAGAATGGGAGATGTTGGGTGCACTTGGGGAGTTTGATTTACTTGTGGGCTAATCCGTTGAGACTGCGGCATTGTTTTCTGTGGTTGCACAGCCTACACTTGTGACTCGAGTGTTAGAGGCTCAGAGAGGTGACCTTGAGGTAGAATCACT